ACCCAACCAGCCAGAAGAAACCCTGGTCCCATTTTGAAGAGGCATTATGGGTTGAGAAAGAAGAAGGAAAAGATATTATCAAGATAAAGTTGTAGCAGGGTAAGGAGACACAAGCCTATAACCTCACTGCCTGGGGGAAGGGGACAGAGGTTAGACTGTGAACTCAAAGCCAGCTGGGCTACCCAGCAAGATCCTGTCTCAAAAAAGGTATTGCAAAAGCAACAACTCAATGACTGAGGTCAACCAGCCATGGCTCTGTGATTCTTGCCACAGGGAACCAAGCTGATCAGAATTTGAGACCTAGGGCAGAGTGAGGGATTAGAAGAACCGGGGTCCCAGAACAAGGCTGCGAACTCTCCTGTGAAGCTGTCTCCTCTCAGTACCAGATCGGAGGCTTGCAGAACATCTGCTTTGGAGCTCGGGATTTGCCCTGCTTACCTGCCCACTCATGATCTGGATTGCTTCCATGTTCCTAATAAACGGTCTCTGTTTCGTTTTCTGTGTTCAGATTGAAAAACAAAGTCTAGTTCTATTGGGAGAGTACAGGAAAATGGGCCCAGCACTCAACAAAGTGTCTTTTTGGTTGTGTGCACCACCATGTCACATACAGGGCGTTGTCTGCTTGGTCCGAGTCTCTGGGTCCGAAAATTCTTCATTGACCCCACGGCATCATCCAGACCTTTGTCTACACAGCCGGGTACACTACACTCTACGTGTTTTGGGGGTCTGATTCTAAATAAACCATTGCTAGATAGTTCTTCAGAGAAATGCTTCAGAAAGCGACATCATCTCCCTTCTCTAACCTTCTACACTGTGGTTGCATTAACTCACAAATGCATGCTCTCTCAGGCATGCATGCAGGACCACAAGGTCAAACTTGTGTGGGTTCGTAAACTGCTGTTTCCAAAACCTACGGCAGACTGTTTCTCTTCCTGTCACCAATTATGGATTCATTTGTTTGCTTGGTTTTAATCAAAATAAAACACATTTTAAGCATACTTGATTCCTTGTATCACAGGGTCTCAACATCTCTGAGTGTCTCTTTCACAGTCAATGTATGGTTATCCACCTAGCATGTACAACTCATATGCTTATGTGAACACAGTCAGATATAACTATATGGCAAATTCTCCCGGCAACTCCTTTTTCCTTTTCGGTGACACTACAAAAAGTATTTCATTATTCTTCTCATGACATCCTGATGAATTTGAAGACTGTGACATGTCTGGTGCCCTAGCTAGTTATCTTAGTCACTGTTCTATTGCTGCGAAGAGACTCCATGACCACCATGACAATACACACATATATATATATACACACACATATATATATATATATATTATTGGTGTTTTACCTGCATGTATGTGTGAGTGTGTCAGATCTGGGAGTTATAGACAGTTGTTAGTTTCCATCTGGGTGCTAGGAATTGAACCCCGGTCTTCTGGAAGAGCAGCCAGTGCTCTTGACAACTGAGCCACCGCTCCATCCCTCACAGCAACTCTTATAAAGGAAAGCATTTACTTGAGGTTGGCTTACAGTTTCAGAGGTTTAGTCCATTATCATCATGGCAGGGATCATGGTGACATGCAGGCAGACATGGTGTTGAAGAGGGAGCTGAGAGTTCTACATCCTGATCTGAAGGCAGCAGGAAGAGAGACACTGGGACTGGCTTGGGCTTTTCAAACCCCAAATTCTACCCCCAGTGACACACTACTCCAACAAGGCCACACCTCCTAATCCTTTCTAACAGCGCCACTCCTTGGTGACCAAGCATTCAAATACATAAGCCTATGGGGGGCATTCTTATTCAAACAACCATATTAGTTTTATGTCAACTTGACACAAGCTAGAGTCATTTAGGAAGAAGAACTCTCAGTTGAGAAAATACTTCCATAAGATTGGCCTGTAGAGGGTCTACGGAGCCGGCTTAGTGGTTGAGGCACTGGCTGCTCTTCCGGAGGTCCTGAGTTCAATCCTTAGAACCCATGTAGTGGCTCACAGCTGTCTATAACTGTAGTCTCACAGGATCTGAAGCCCTCTTCTGGTGTGCAGAAAAAAACACTCATATACATGAAATAATCAATTAATAGCTTAGAGAATGCACTACAGATTTGACTATAGGCCAACCCCACCACCACCCGCACCTCAAAGCTCACTATGTAGCTCTGGCTGTCCTGGAACATAGACCAGGCTGGCCTTGAACTCACAGCTAGCAGCCTGTCTCTGGCCCCCGAGTGCCAGGATTAAAGGCACACACCACCACACTCAGCTGAGCGAGCCCTGAGGAGCAAGCCAGTGAGCAGCACCACCCCCCGAGGCCTCTGCATCAGTTCCTGCCTCCAGGTTCCTGCCCTGACCTCCCTTGGTGATGGGCTGTGATGTGGAACTATACCATGTAAAAAACCCTTTCTTTCCCAAGTTGCTTTTGGTCATGGTATTTCCCGCAGCAATAGTAACCTAGCCCAGCATCTGGGTAGAACTCTTATATGGTATCTACCCCTCTTCTGCACAGAAAGGGAGCCTGTTGTTGAGATCAACTAGCCAATTTCTGTCTGTGTTACAGATCTAACTACTACATGGAAAAATTCTATTAAAAAGACAAATATTTCAGAGTTGGCCTCACCTCGGACGTTCATATCTGATTCACAGACATCTGTGTCTCCCTGAGAAGTAACTTTTTTTTTCAAGAAAACAACCAGAACTGTCCAACAGAGCAATAAGCCAGCTCCTAGGGAAGGGAACTCCCTGTAACAGGAAGAAGCCAAGTAGAGCCACTTCTCACGATCATAAGGAAGGCAGTCTGCCCTGGGTGGGGAGGCAGAGCCGTCTCAAGATTTGGGCCACTTCATTTCTGATGAAAGCAGCCTTTGATAGTACTGGAAAATGACACAGTGAGTCATTTCACAGTGAGCTGTGTGAGGAAGCAAGTTGTGGGAGATGTATTCTCCTGCCTCCGCACCCAGCACTGAGCCACAGGCTCAGGCCACATGGTCAGGTAGATGACAGAGCAGGGTTCAGTGGCTCGTGGGTCTGTGCAGACAGAAAGATGCTGCTGTTCCCGCAGCATCTAGAATCATGATTTGATCATCGTCAAGCAGTTCTCTGTTCTAATGCACATCTGTCATTTTTGTTGTTGTCACACTCTCTATGTCACACTGTCAAGTCCTGTCCTACTGGCAGCTGGCCCGGGCAATGGTCTTTCTTAATCTCCACCTCCTACTAAGTGTACCAGGAAGCCCCAGGTCTGGAGGTAGTAAGTTTAGCCCGCAGGTCAGGGGCAGAGCTTGGGGACATGCTGGCTGCCCAGCACAGCGTCTCCAGGCCAGTGTGTGCGCTCTTAAGCTCAGTGCTCGGTGTAGCCTGTGTGATGGCTGTGCTGGAACCAGAGGAAGTTGGTGCAGGAAGTGTCCCAGCTGTTGCTTATTAGCATTAGGACAAAATTACACAAAGCAAATTGTTAGCAGACATGTTGCCATAATCTTTAACTGGTGGCAATAAATAGGCGTGATCCTCTTTCAAGTAAATACTTGATTTCCAAAAACCCAGCTTCCAATTGTCCATGAAGGAATCCTGTTGGATGAGGCTAAGCCTTGGAGGAAGAGACACTGAGGGGCTGAGGCTCCAGCATCCATCCGTGCCCAGGAATGGGGCTGCTGGACAGCTGCTGTCAACTTGGCAACATGAAAGCAGGAATGTTTGTGCCTCTGGACATCTGGCCATCTGCTGGATCTCCCTCAGGGCTTCTCCGTCTGTCCTCTCATGGAGCTGAGAGTTAAGTCCCATGGCAATACACAGGAAGGCAGAGCAGAGGCTCAGCTCTTAGTGTGTTTATGTCAAAAAACACAAAACAAAAAGCAGAGTTGGGTTTTCTTTCTTCTTTCTTTTCTTTTCTTTTTTTTGACACCCACTTCTTCACAAGATGCTGCAATTTAAAAAAATCTATTTCTTCACATTGCATGTCTTTTGTTGTTGTTGTTGTTTTTTCAAGACAGGGCTTCTTTGTGGCTTTTGGAGGCTGTCCTGGAACCCACTCTGTAGACCAGGCTGGCCTCGAACTCACAGAGATCCACCTGCCTCCCGAGTGCTGGGATTAAAGGCGTGTGCCACCACCACCCAGCCACAGTGCATGTCTTTATCTGTGGTTTACACATCAGTGTGAGCCTGGCCCTACTGGAGAGGTAAGGAACCCTGTGAGCACATGTCCCATAGCTTATGCATAGAGGGACACCTCTCGGTTCCTCGGGAGAGATCAGAATGCCCTTCAAGACTTTTTGAAGATGACAATGCTCAAATAGAACGTTGCACATTTCCAGTTTTCTTCAAAGATTCAGTAAAGCCCTCCTAAAAGAATCTAAAATATTTTCTTTTGAATTAAAACCGTTTCAATTTTAAGAAGTATTCTGTGACAGCAGAGAGATGAAAATAGGTTGGTTATGGCCATGTCATGGCTAGGGCTGTCAGCGCAACTGCTCTTTTATTGTTTCCCTGAGAAATGTATGCTTTTGTATGCTCTGGTTGCTTCTCAAACTCTCAAGCCAGCATCCCTTCCCATTTTGAGCACAGCTTTTCTGAGGAGTTCGCTGCTCCTTTGTTTCTACTGAAAGGGAACAGACATTGACAACCCTGTTGAAGAGAAGCAACAGGCTCATGACCTCCCTGACAGACATGACTGAGACCCTTGGCCAGCTGTTCTCTGCCTACGGCTCCCCAGTGTGCCCTTTCCTTGGGCGTCCAAGTCCTCAGGTTTGGCATGTCACGTTAGCCAGGTGAGAGGATCAAGTCCAGAAGCCAGAATTGTTCTGGTCATCCAACTGTCCATGGGGCAGGCCCTGCTACAGTTAAGTAAGAGGGAACACCTTCTAGTAACAGCCGTAGGACGGCTAAACTGGGCTTGCCGCCACATTACAAAGCTGGGAAGATATCTAAGAACATGGTACACTCGCAACCACTTCCTTAGATTTTTTTTTTCCAACCCTAGTATCAGGAGATACACACACACACAGGGGCCACATCTTTTATCTAAAATCTTCACAAAGGGAATAATGTGTTTCATAAAACATTTTAAATGCTTTAGGCAACAGAATTATCTCTTGATTTTTTTCCAAGTGTTTAACAGACAAATGTAATTGGAAATGTTTGGAACATGGAGCACACAAACTCTTTAATTTGGAATTACACAAAATTTGATCGTTATTTACTGCAACCTGAAGCAAAGCTATGCAGATGGAGTAGCAAGAGAGCTATCTGCAAATGTGAGTTCAAGTCCTTCTCATCTGGCCAGAGAAATCCCTATGGCCTGGACCTTTAAAGTCTGTTTAGAGGAAATGGCCTGGCGTGTTTTACATTTGAGAAGCTATTTGACTGCCCTGTTTGACAAGGTTTTTTTTAGAGGAATGAAAATTAATTATAATTGCAGCATTGCTACAATGATTTGGTCAGCTAATTAGATTCCATGCAAAAACAGGCAAGAAGAATTGGTTCCACTGGTTCTTCTGGGGTATTGCAGCCTTCGTGCCAAGAATAATGAAATTGCTTCTTGGTTTCTTGAATTTTTAAAAATTTTGAGCCAAACCTTAAATGTCTGGGATTCTGCAATCAAGCTAATTTAAGGCTTCGTGTGAAGTAAGACAGCACCGGACTGAGAGTTGTGGTCCCACACAGTCCTCCCACAGGCCTTCGCTCTCCTTGGAAAGCTCCTTAAGCCTCTCTTGTTTGACTTGTTTGGGTGTATTTAACTTGGGGACACCAGGGAGGCACTGGTAAGGTTAGGCAGGACATTTGCAAAGCTTGAGTGTCCCTGGAAGCGGTGCCACGAGTCTGCAGGGGCAGGGCACAGACATTTGAGTGGACCCAGCGATGGATCGGTCGTTCCAGATCTCGCCACTTTCACACCAGCAATTCTGTTTCTAAGAATTGTCTGACACTTTTTGAGACAGTGATCTAACTTCAGAGCCATGGCAAACACCTTGCATTAACAAACATCCCAAGGCAGAGTCTGCTCATTGCTTTTAAGATCTTAAAGAAACTCCCCAAGGTCGGATTCGAGGTCATTTTGTCACATGCTAACAATAACGGGCACCCAGCTCATCAGACACCGATCATGATTCATTCAGTGGGAAGCTTTGGGACACTCTTCTCCTCTGTCATACTTTGAGTCCAACCACCGCTGTCTATGAAACAAAGATCTTGCAGTGTCGTGTCACGCTTTCTCAAACGGGGAACATCACAGTCGGCCCCATAGCACAGCCTGGAGTATTTCCTGTGGCCTTTGCCCAAATTGTAGCTGAGCCATATCATAGGTAGCTCCATCCATCTTGTCCTGGAGCAGAACATCTGGCTGAGAGCTGAGGGATCAACCCCCCCCCCAGCTTCCCTTGCCAGCTGAGACCTCGCTCGGGCTGCAATCTAAGGAGAGGTGCTGTTTCTGATCCACACTGTGGCCATGGAGACCCCGTGTTATCTTGACCCCCACCTCCTCAGACACACCTTTAAGGAAGAGCATGTGCCCATGAGTCCTCCATTCAGAATAAACAAGGAAAAAGAAAGGACTTGACAAAGAATAGCAGCAAAGAGGTCACCCCTTCTGCCCAGTAAACTGTGGCTCCATCCCTCTCTGGACACAGCTGCAAAGGGTAGAAAATCAATTTTTTCTTATTACTTCACAGTGAAGAGTGAAAACCTATTTGTAAATTGAATTAAACCCAGTAAAAACACGCCTGTGTATTTGTTGAAGACTAGAGAAATTAGCCACAGACTCAGCTCCAGAATGCAGCCGTGTAACTTGAAATCAGCACTCTCCCTTTTCACACACTGTTGAGACAGTTTTCTTTCCTTTCTTTTTCTTCAAGAGATATCCGTAGCTAAACGCCACCAAGATTCTGCAGTGTTCCAGCATCTCAGCCCACAGCAAGAGTCTGGCAGAGGAGGGACTCCAAATCTTTGTTTAGGCAGACAGTTGCTTCCAAATTCTTACCGTGTCAGTCAGTCAATGGTGAATATGAACTGGAACCCTCCAGATCACAATTTCTTCTCGGGTGGCAATCTGGGGCGCTGACTGTGGAATCAATCCCCATCCCCGTGCAAGCCAGACATTGGGAAGCCCTGACCCAGCCACTGAGCTCTGCATGAGCTGGCCACTGCAGCCTGCATCCTGAAACCTCATTAGTAGTCTGCCCTCCTGTGGACAAGTGAAGGACCTAGTAGCTAAAGACTGAACCATCTTTTCCTCGCTTCTCTTTGAGCAAGCAACACACTTCAAGCTTTCAGATAGTGCAAGGTGAGGCAAATCATCCTTGGGAGGCAGTCACCTCAGAGCTGACTCCAGTGGCCTCATGCTGATCCGTCCCCAGGACAGGGAGAAGGGGCCTCTGCAGTGGGAAACCCCGCACCACCTCCAAGGGCAAGTTCCTTCTCATGACTCTGAGAGCCACCTCCAGGTGGGGGCACCCCTTGGGTGACAGCATTCAGTTATTCATTCTGTCATGACACAAATAGCACCCATAAAGAGTGACCAGCATGGCAGGGACATTAAGTGTAATAGGCTTTCTGTGATCTTTCTGACAAATCAGTGACACAGCTGAGTCTTTGAAAGGGGCCATTTGGAATGTTAGAAAAGGCAGAGATGCACGCATTTGGTAAAAGACAGTCTTTGTGGCTATTAGGTTTAAGGAGACAATCCACTTGGGATAGTGGCTGGGTGCTGGTCAGGCAGAGGATAACCCTGGGGTCTGAGGCTTTGCCGCCAACTCTGCGAACTTCAGAACTTGGCTTGCTTCAGCTTGTCGATGTGGTAGCATAGTTTCAGCGCCGGTCCGAGCTTCAGCCCCAGGTATTTCATGATCATGTCGCTCCTCAGCAACAACAAGGCATTGCCGTCAATCTCCTGGTGCAAAGGGGTCGGGAAAAGAAAACCCAGGAGACAGTTAGAGCAGCCAAATGGCGGCTACGGTCAAGGCGTGCTAACAGGCAGCTCAAGGACAGGTGACTCGGTTAACCAGCCCATGCTGCTGGTTCTGGGAGAGCTCTTGGGAACAGTTAAGACAAACAAATACGATGCCCTCTTCTCCCCGTCCCCTCCCTGAAGTCATTTACTACATTGTACCTCTCAGATTCCTGATGGCTCCCAATTGAAGGAATCAGAAATAACTTCATCTCCATTCCTACTATCCCATGTATAACACTTGCCATCCAACTAGATCCCCCCACAGACAGGCCAGCCTGGGGAACCTGGATTGATGCTCCTGGCTATAAAGAGGATCATGATTTGGGAAAAGCAAGCAGATTACCCTTCAAATACTAGAATGTATCCCTGAAAACACCTGGATCTTAGCCATGGAGACCCTGGCAAGGCTCCTGCCTGACCCATAGAAATAAAGACAAGCAAAGTGCATTGTGTTAAGGACCTGAATCTGTAGCAATTTGTTATGCTAGCAATCCAGAATTAATAAGCTGAGCAAGTAATATAATAATTCTTACCTTTCTTCCCAATTCTGTCTTTATATATTTCAGAAGTAGCTAAATGATTATAGCATTTATATGAAGGCTATCTATATGAGTGAGGTCTCACACAATGTATTTAAGTGTATTTCCCCATTTAAACCTCTAAGCCAGTGGTCGAATGATCCTTTTACAGGTGTTACCTAAGACCATCAGGAAACACAGATATTTACATTATGATTCATAACAGTAGAAAAATACAGTTATGAATTAGTAATGAAAGTAATTTTATGGTTGGGGTCACAACTGTATTAAAGGGCCACAGCACTAGGAAGGTTGAGAACCATTGCTCTAACCAGTAAGAACAGGCTGGACCACAGTTTGCCTGGCACATTGAAGGTGTGCTACAAATGACAGTTGGACGCATACAGGTTGGGTTGGATAGATGGATGGTGGGTGAGTGGGTGAATGGATAGATGGATGGATGAACGGATGGATGGACGGGTGGATGGATGGATGGATGGATGGATGGATGGATGGATGGATGGGCAGACAGACAGGACAGATGAGTGGGTGGATACATGGATGGATGAATGGGTGGGTGGGTGGGTGGACAGATGGATAGACAGATGCATGAATTTGTGGGGAAAAAAGCAATCTAGACCCAAGAGAGAATAGAAGAACAAAATGTCCCTTAAAAACACAACGCTGATGGTTGCTCTGCTCTGACAGGCAGATGGTTGCCTCTGTCCCTCTCATCTCTGGCACACTCAAGACTGACAGGGCTTAGTCTAGATCACCAGCATTTGGGGAATTCTGAGGTCCTCTCTCCTTCCACTGGCCCTCCCCCCAGACCCACTACTTCCATACATGTTTTCTGAAGAGTTCCACATGAGGCCCCAGGGCCTGAGGGTCAGCGTCTTTCACAAATCGAACCACGTCCTCCACAGTCCAGGTAGAAGGGTTTCTGCTGCTTGGTCGCCTGGTGTCCTGCACCTCTGGAGAGGGGCTCGAGGCTGCAAGGGAGTGAGCAGAGGAGGGGACCATGAGCCAGGGAAACTCAGCACTCACCTGGTGCTGCCTCCTGGCATACCCACCCCGGGCTGGCCTGGGAGGAGTCCTCAGTGCTCTGAAGTCCACAGCACAGCCAAATGGCTGCTCAGTGAGGAGCCAGGGGCATAGGAAGGCAACAGCCGCTCCATGCCACGCTGTCCTGGGAAGGAAGTTTGTGGAGCTTTCATCTCAACAAACAGAAATTCTGGTTCGGTTGAAGTCTTCCAGACCCTCTGTTCAGTGCTCTGTTTGTGGCCTGGGATCTGCTATAGTGAGGTATTGGTGACTGCTGAGAGAAGTGTTAGTAACATGTGCCTCTGCAAGCTGTGGGCTATGTGATACCGGGCCCTTTCCGGGTCCCCTGGAGATGGCAGTGGCGGCAGAACTGGGGTGTGTCTGGGCCTTCACTTTTGGACTTTGCAGAATGGCTAATCTTCACCTCCAGCAGCCCTGGCAGGGTCCATCTGTACCTGCTCTCAGAGAAAGACGGTGTTGCCTCATTGCTTGTCCTTTGTCCCAGTACTGGGTTCTTCTGACTCTTGAGGAGGGTGCCTCTCCTGCTGGGCCTTCTCCCTGCCATCCCTGATGAATCTTTGGTAAACTCATACTGCTAATGGTATGACTAATCTGTATCGTCTTTGTGACTGGATTAGAATTGCCCAGGAGACACACCTCTGAGAAGCACTTCCAGAGATCAGGGAAGGAAGACACACCCTGGATGTGGGTGGAGCCACCCTGAGGCTGTGGTCTCAGACTGAATGGGGTAATGGTGGATACAGCCAGTTTTATGTGAACTTGGTACCCGCTAGAGTCATTCTGGAAGAAGGAACCTCAATTGAGAAAATGTTCCCAAGAGATTGGCTGTAGACAAGCCTGTGGTACATTGTCTTGACTGACGACTGATGTCAGAGGGCCCAGCTGACTTGCTGTGGGCAGTGCCACCCCTGGGCTGGTGGTCCTGTCTGCTATAAGAAAGCAAGCCAGTAGGCAGCACTCCTCCATGGACTGGGTATCGGTTCCTTTCTCCAGGTTCCTACCTCGAGTCCTTGCTATGATTACCCTGGATGATGGACTACAGGCTGTGAGGTGAACTAACCCTTTCCTCCCCAAGCTGCTTTTGGTCATGGTGTTTTATCACAGCAATAGAATCCCTAGCTAAGACAGCCAGGTAAGTTCCAGCTCTGCTTTACTCTGCTTTCTGCGAACCAGAACTGAGTGTGTTCCACTGCCCAGCCTCACACAACTTCTGCTTCCAGCCCAGCTTGTCATGGGGGGCTGTATCCCCACACTGTGAGCTGACAGAGGCCCTTCTCTCTTCTGTTACTTCTTGTCAAGTATTTGTTCCAAGGAATGAGAAAAGTAAGAAATATCCATATATTCCTATCCCCCAAAACGATTTTCCCATGGCTCTCTTGCTTCTGCTACTTTCTGTCTAGCGTATATTTAACTGTCACTGCCTCCAGCAAGATGCGTCTGTATGCATCTGCCACTCAAGGCCCCTCTGGGTGTCCCTTGCCTATGCACTGTGTCTCCAAGTCAACAGCTGTAGTGTGATTCCACAGTACTTTCCTTCTTAGATGCAGAGGAAGGATTTGGGGCTGGGGGACTTAGGGACAAATCCTGGATCTTCCCCTGCTTATGATTAAACCACAGTTTATCTTAGATCATGGCAGCACTCCCTAGCCAGAAAGGCTGGTTATGGGTACTGAAGTGAGCAAGCACTGGGCCTTCTGGTCAACCCCAGAGAGGAGGCTCCCTATACATCCATGTAGGCATACTGATTATGGCTCATTTTCCTATTGCTTCCCTGTTTGCCCTCCTCCTTCCCACTGATACCCCATCAACCATCAAAGCCCAGGGATTAGGAGCTGGAGAGATGGCTCAGTGGGTAAAACACTTGCCATACAAATATGAGAATCTGAGTTTGAGATCCCAAAACTGACATTAAAAATAAGATGCATTGCAAAAGTCTCTGTAATCCCAATACTCCTCAGAGGAGATAAGAGGAGTGGGGAAGAAGAATCCCTGGAAGCCTGTGAACCAGCTAACCTAGTGTACACAGCAGAGCAGCAGTAAGGAGACCCTGGCCTGAACAAGGAGGAAAGACAAGGATCCGGCACCAAAGACTGTCACTGAACCTCCACGTGAGAATGAGGGCCCACACAGAGTGCAATTCATACACCAATGTACAGGTCCACGACATAGCCACATGTATACACAGACGCGCAAATAAAATGATAGACAGTGAGAGAGACAGAGAGAGAGAGAGGGAGAGAGGGAGGGAGGGAGGGAGAGGGAGGGAGGGAAGGAGAGGGAGGGAGGGAGGGAAGGAGAAAGAGACAGACACAGAGAGAGAGAGAGAGAGAGAGAGACAGAGAGAGAGGGAGAGAGAGACAGAGAGAGAAAGAGAGGGAGGGAAGGAGACACACACACACACACACACAGAGAGAGAGAGAGAGAGAGAGAGAGAGAGAGAGAGAGAGAGAGAGAGAGAGAGAGAGAGAGAGAGAGCCCTGCCAGCCCAGGGGTCATCAGGTCCCTCTGTGAGCACCAAGACCATCCTCTTGCCATCACCTGCCTCCCCATCTGACCTCCTTCTCCTAGGATGCTTCCTATACCCCTTGCAGTGCCAGCACTCATGCTTTCTGTAGCCTCAGACTTTAATTCCCCGAGAAGCCTCCATGTTCACTTCACAATCATGTACCACTTTCTTCCCTGGCTTGGTCTTGGAAGAGGGTTTGCTGAACAATACAACCCAAGTCCTCTCATTACAGGGGTCACACATTACGTTGGCCCCTCCGCAGTTGTGCAGACAATAAATATACTTGAAATGTGGAATTGACGACTGTGAAATGGATCAATATGTTTTGCAGAAACATGCTAGCTTTGTGAGAGTGATCCTTGCCACTACTTTAAGGCTAGAAAAAGGCCAAGATACTGAAAAACAGCAGCTTTCCCACAGGATTATCCTAGGAGCTGAGAAGCAGGCGCCGGCTCCCTTTTCTAAGTCTTAAGAGGAAACTGGTTTCTTCTGAATCTGTGCTGGTTGAGACCTGGATTTACTTTGAGACTCCCCCCCCCACCTTTCCTTGTTGGACCTGGAAGGGTCCCATAAGGTGGTTTGGCACCAGCCATCACACTGAGAAACCGCTAATACTCCCCAGAGTCTCCCAACACTGGTGCACTGGTGAGAGATGATTTTTTACTCTGTTTAAAGACATCTGCACTCACCATGGGGCTGAAGAATCAGAAATCATGTCTGTCCTCAGGACCCGCCCACGGGAGCATGGCTGTTAATCAGGGTGGTAATGGATGTCCTAACCACAAAGGCAGGAAGTCTTTAGCCCAAGAATGATTCTGGGTGATGAGAGCAGAGGTCAAATCTAATTTCCTATACTTGGCAGGAAGGAGGGGAAGTCCGGCCCACAGCGCAGGGTCCGGAGCCCTTGGGAAGAGGTCAGGGACAGCAGCTGCTGTCTGCAGCAGCACAGAGGGCTCCCAGTCTTAGAGGAAGGCCCTGCCAGTGCAGACTGTTGAGAGCAGACACTGAGGCAAGTGTTGTCCACGCTCGGACTTGATGCCAGCTGAGGGCATTTTTTCCTTTTTCAGGATGGTGGAAGAGTAGCCAGGCTGGCTCAGGAGTATTTCTGAGCAGCCTTTTAGTCACACAACACAGGACAGCAGGTAGCCTAAGTCACATCTTGGGAGTTGCTCCTCATCCAAAGCACACAAGCTCATGCTGGAGAAGGCAAATGGAACTTTCCAGACGCACGTTTGCAAAGCCAGTGTAGGTCTGTATTCACAGAGAAAAACCGACAGACCACCACACCCTGCTCCGGCCGCTGGGGAAGGCATCTGGAAGACTGACACGTCCAGGCCGACCCTGGTGTCCGGAAGACAGACACGTCCAGGCCGACCCTGCCCGAGCAGGCAGATGTGAGAGGTCAACCGAGAGCCGAGATGGAGTGAATGAACCCTGCACAGAGAGAGCATGCAAAGCCCTCGCCACCCACAGCATTCTCCAGCGCTGGGAAAGCCATGCTTGGTCAGGCCGCTCCCCGTGGGCTTGGAGTCGTGAAAAGTGAGACCCGGCGGTGAATGGGTACATAATTAAATCTTGTTGCTCCTGAAGCCAGACTGATGGTTAACAGAAAAACAGACCACCGGCAGAGCCGGTGCTGAAAAGCAATCCCCCAGCCCCTGCCGAAGCACAGGTGCCACATCTGCAGATTTCTTTCCGTCTTACGCAGTCCCACGAGCACACACATAATTGGTTTCTGCTCATTCATAATTCAGAGGAAACTTTAGCTAACAGTGTGGAGCAAGCGAGTGATGCGCCAGGAGCCGGAGCTCCCTCCTCCCGCAGCTGCGCCCGGCTCCCCAGTTCTCCAGAGTGCAGGAGAGGTGCCTGCAGAGGTGCCTGCAGAGGTGCCTGCAGAGGTGCCTGCAGAGGTGCCTGGAGAGGTGCCTGCAGAGGTGCCTGCAGAGGTGCGTGCAGAGGTGCCTGCAGAGGTGCCTGCAGAGGTGCGTGGCGGATCTCCACATTTGCTCCAACCCCAGGTACTGCCAACACACTGCACCACAGGCCGGTGACGCTGACACCTCCGAAGGCCTCAGGTGTGCGTCTAAGGCTAGCCCACAATCTACACAGAATCAGGTGGTGTGAAACAGCGTTTCATACTCTCAGTTCCAGTTTGTAACCTACTCTGAGGTGACAGAGACCAGAGAAAAACAGCCCCAATGCGTCCTCATATTTTAATCAGATTTTTCTATGAATCCTTCAAGACAAGCTGACCAGCCGACAGGACAGAAGATGTCCCTGGAGACCGCAGGCCAGGCTGGGCAGTGTTCCTTCTCAGCCAGCGGCTACACTGTGAACCTTCACCCACTTGCCTTGACAGAAATGTGATCTCTGCCAGAGGCCTCTGGACACCTCTCCTTCAAAGGACTAAATGTCCCTTCTCATTTCAGTGGGGGTCACTTCACCTCCCTGGAGCTTTTCCTGACTCCCAAGGTGAGGAGGTCCTGCAACTCCCACTTCCGATATTGTCGTCACAGCAGCCCTCCCCTTCCAACAATATCACAGCAGCCCTCCATCCAATACTGTCACAGCAGCCCCTCCCCATCCAGTACTGTGACAACACCCCCACTTCCAACACTGTGACAACACCCCTCCCCATCCAGTACTGTCACAGCAACCCCTCCCCTTCCAATAATATCACAGCAGCCCCTCCCCATCCAATACTGTGACAACACCCCTCCCTATGCAATACCATCACAGCAATCCCTCCCCATCCAATACTGTCACAGCAACCCCTCCCCATCCATGACAACACCCCCACTTCCAACACTGTCACAGCAACCCTTCCCTATCCAATACTGTCACAGCAGCCCCTCCCCTTCCAATACTGTCACAGCAGCCCTTCCCTATCCAATACTGCAACAACACCCCTCCCTATGCAATACCATCACAGCAATCCCGCCCCTTCCAACAATATCACAGCAACCCTCCATCCAACGCAGTCACATTGGCCACACTTCGGCTCCAACAGCAATCACAACAAACATGCTAAGGTCTGTCTCTCTGGAATGGGATCCTTCTGCCCTGTCCACTGAGTCATCGTCAGCCCTGAGAAGAGTCCCTGCCTAGGTGCTCAGTGAACATCTGCTAACCAGAACACCCCAGTCTCCCTGCCATCTTAAGCAGCAAGGATCAAATAGGATAAGGCTGTAAGTGTCAGAATTAGGCCCAAAGCCAGTGGGCATTCTTCTTGTGTGTCATCCATAAATGTCCAGGAGATTCGCCCCCCCCAAGTCCCACCACCAACCAGCTCACTCCTCTGCTCAGAAATACGTGGTTTATAATTGCTGTAAGTGAATTCCCACCTGCCTGACAGACCCCAAACCATCCAGTGTGCTTTCCCGCATCACCCCAGCCCTAACTCCTCTCCACAGTGAGGTAGCCCTTTCTTGCCCCTGCAGATACCAGGCCTCACAAGTCCCCATCCTCCTCCTTTCTCTAGCAGAATTATCTCTATCCCTCACTGGCTCTGCATCCCATGGAAGCCAACTCTAACCCACAGGAAACATTTGAGGTATAACAACAAGTCAGATTTATTTTGTTTCTGATCCTACATCTTGGCGCTGCCTGTGGTTGGCAATTCTATAGTATGTTCAGGAAGCTTTTGTTATCTGAAACCTCTTTACAGCCCTTTATAGCTCTGGCTGATTGTATCTGGGATAAGAGACAGAAGCTCCCAAATATTGGCCTGAATGTCAGCTTAAACCCCAGGCAAACCACATCCCATGCTGCACTGCGGTGGCACAGGCAGGCACTGGTGGCCCAGGCACCAGGGACAGGGACAGCAGGGGGTTGGGGTAAGGCTACACCCATCATTCTCTCCCGCTCTGCCTGCAGCCTGGAGCTGCTTCTAGACTCTGATTTTAACCCATTGTGATTAGTAGTTGGGGAGAAAATCCACTTCTAGGTTTCTGCGAGGGTTGATGCGTTGGGTCAAACCCACTGAGAAAGAAACAGTTTCTTGATGCCAATGGATTTCACCTGGGATGTAATTTCGGAGAAACATCAAGCAGTCCTTGGAGAGGGAAAAGGCTTTAACAGAGGAGAAGAGAGCGAAGGACCTGCCGCAGGGGTGCAGGCTGGCAGGTGGGTGAGGTTGGGAAAGGAGGCTAAGGCTTTCCCTGTGCTTGTAATGTGATGCTCAGCTCGACACGCTGAACCACCATGCTTTCTAATGCCCGGTAACTGGACAGGTTTGTTTCAAACAAGGAAATTGTGGAGAGGTCTTGGATAAGGAGTCACAGCGGGGCTGGGTTCCTGTCCACTCTCACCCTCTTCTCCATCCTCTTCCACATCAGAAAGGACCCCAGGAAACCATACAAGCAGAAGTCCTGGAGTGGTTTGGACAATCTCAGACTTTGGAGTTGGCCATGTCAGTTTGGTTCAACAACTGACAGACATCTTGATCCATGTTGCCTGGAAATGTATCTGATAACAAACACGTCCTACTTTTACATGATAAATCCTAAGTAGCAGTAGAAAGTGGTCTATGATTGGGGATGCAAATATAAATGAGACCCCCACAAGACAGGTCGTGGTTCTCTTAGTGTGTGGCAAGACAGAGTGATACTTAGGTGCAAAAGTACCGGGGGAAGGAAAATGGAGAATACAATCACTCATAATAAGGAAGTGTTGCTCAGACTGCTGGTTGCCAAGGTCCCTGATTTCTACCTGGAATCCAAGCCCACATTTCCAAGTTTCCTTTGCAGCTGTTGGTCGTGTGATTCAATTCTAGAAAATGAGATGTAGCAGAAATGGAAAGTTCTCTCAGAGACACAAGGCACAACCTTCTGTCCCCTTTCCTCCCACCTACGTGGCTCTCTCTCTTCTGAGGCTGCATGGTTGAAAAGCTCGCCCCTGTGTTCCCATTTTCCCTTGGGCACCCTGCAGAGGCACCGTAAGTGCAAGCCTTACTCTGAAAAGTTCCTGCAGTTATAAAGAGTGGATAAATGCATTTTTCTGCCTCTTCTTCAGAGAGTCCCTTCCCATCCTTAGCCAGCAGAGGCCCATTTGGGGCTTGCTCATCTGGGATGGGTGAAGCTGTTTGAGGATCTTGAATTGTACTAAGCATCTCACGTATGACTCATGGCAATCACTGGAGGAGGGATCCATACCTAGAGAAGAGATGGGGCTTGCCAAAGGGCACACAGCCATCCCAGTGGGTAGTGACAGAGAAGCAAGCTGAAGCTCCCCTGACTCTGGCCCAGAGCTCCCGTCAGCCATTCCAGTTGAGGAGAGGCTGAGGTCTGTTGAGGGATGTATTGGTGGATCTACGGTATTCATGTTTATCAACCACTTACTATGGCCATAGGCCTTCCACTAAAGCTACTTGTAATGTTTTCAACCTTCCCCATGGCTCTGTGAGGGAAGGGTGGTTTGTATGACCGTTTCAACTTCTCAGGCAAGGACACAGAGATCCAGAGAAAGTAGAACTTAAAAAAAGGGCCGTCCAGTTAGAGAACAGCAAACCCAGAATTCCAGGCTGCTGCATCCACAAAGCCATCTGCTCGATCGCTTCTAATCCATTAACGGAACACCAAAGCTTGAAAACAAGTCTGTGAAGCAGGGGTGTCCAATATGATGTCGTATGATACGTGCTACATTAAATTCACCGCTACTCTGGTTACAGGGCGGCCACAGGCTGCAGATTGGACCCGCCTGTTGTAAAGTGCCTGTCAGAATGGCCTCCACGCAGGTCCTAGAATCTCACATCCCCTGAGCACTCTTGTGTGTTACCTTTCTCTTGTGAGGGACAGGAGGGCCTAATGACCAGCACGGAGACACTTTTTTGTCTTGTCTGCTCTCTCCGGTGGACTCAGGCCATGGATGAATCTACTATGCAGAAGACAAGCTTTTGTCCAAGTCTGCTGCTGTTTTCTTCTGGGCACAGAGCTGGCCTCCTTCTTTAGTTAAGTGGGATCTAATGGTCCAGTCTTGCCAATGGATGTGAGTGGGATCCATGCGCAACACTTCCGGGCATCACATATGTCATTGGCATCCTCACTCCCGTCCACTAGATGAGGTGAGACAGGCATGGGAGAGACACAAATGAACAGAAGAGAGGCCCTGCATTGAGAGGGAACACCCCCTTGGACTCTTGAACTAAGCTGTCAATGGCATTTAAGTGAGTGGACATTTTGCAGTCTGCTAATTATTCCTAACCTAATGTATCATTTTCTCCATTTACGATCAAAAAGTTGAGATCGGTTGCCTATAAAAATAGCAAAAAATCTAGCCAGGTGTTGGTGGCGCACACCTTTAATCCTAGCACTCGGGAGGCAGAGGCAGGCAGATCTCTGTGAGTTCCAGGCCAGCCTGGTCTACAGAGCAAGTTCCAGGACAACCTCCAAAGCAATACAGATGAAACCCTGTCTCTGAAAAATAAAATAGCAAAAATCTAAGGGGCTTGTGGAAAGTTCTGGTTTTCAGAAGTGTCATGTTCAAATCCCTGCAATCTAATCCCCCCACCCCATCCCCGCTGTGTCTCCAGGGTGGAGGCCATTAAGCCACCAGGAAGCCAGGGCATGCATTACATTACCACATCTGTTTCCTTCTACTTCATTCCTTTTGGGGCTGGAGGCTGGGAACCTCAGTCCAGGTGTCGATGGACCTCCCGAGGGCAAGGGGTTGGTACGGGAACCACTGGCGGGAGTGGCAGGGCCTCCCCCAGCGTGGCTGTCTCCAGAGCTCAGCCTCTTGTAGTACAGTGAGGAGGAGTGGGTCAAGGAGCCCCTGTGGGTGAAGGCGGTGGAGGCGGTGTCCATGCTGTAGCGGTTCATTCCCGCAGGGCTTGTCAGACACTCTTCAGCCGTGGCTGCCTGGGCTGAAAAGTAAAGATGCAGGGAACAGACTTGAGAGAGCAGCAGTCCAGGGAGCTACCCAAGCCTCAGCCTTGACAAACCCTGCTCTGCCGTGGTCACTATCACCAGTGAGCATGCACAAAGAGGAGACATGAACACAGACTAGTCCTGCAGAGTGAGATCTTGCCTCACCAGGGAGGGCCCAAAAGACAGATTCTTCCATGTTTAGGAGGAACAGGGGCTATCTTGACCCTTAATCACTTGGAATAAACCCCCCAAAATCAATAGTTCTGCTTGTGAACTGTACATGTGATCAGTGTGTATGTGTGTGTGTGTGTGTGTGTGTGTACATGTGTACATGTGGAGGCGTGTTTGTGTAGGTATGTGTAGGGTGTGTGTATATAGATGTGTGTGTAGGGGTGTGGTGTGTGTGTGTGTGTGTGTGTGTGTGTGTGTAAATGTCCAGACACATCATGGAGATAAAGAGGAAACCATTCTACCCCCACCCCCACCTATTCAAAACTATATCTTTTTAGCTTCATCAATAATTGTAGATTTAATACCATCAAACAGATCTTGATATACCAAAAGGAACACAATCAGTAACAACAACAAGTGTTCCAGGATTGGCAATGAAGAAACACAAGACCCAGACGCCTTCACCATGTCTAGATTCCTCCTTCAAGAAGGTACTGAAAAACTAAAATTTGATATTAGGGCAAGTAGCTGGTCCCACTGCTGGGAACTTCCATGGAGACTGCCTGGAAACAAACACCATGAAGAGTCAAGACCGTGGCCCTAACGTAGAGGTAAATTTTGTAGGTGCAGAAATGTCTGTTTTAGGGCTAGAGAGATGGCCTCACAGTCAAGAGCACTTGCTTTTCTTCCCAACAACCTAGGCTCAATTCTTAGGACCTACATGAGCATACAACTATCTGTGGCTCTAGGTCCAAGGGATGCAAACATCAGGCATGCATATAGTGCACAGACATATATGTAGGCAAATAACCCATACACATAAAATAAGATTAAAAAGCTTGTATTGCAGAGGATGAACAATTTCATATGAATAGCCATTCACCTTAAGACAGTAAAAATCAGCAAATTAAATTTAAAGCAAATGGATAGAGATTTGAGCAGAAATTAATCTACTAGAAAAACACTAGGAAATAAAAACAATGATAGCAAAAGCTATCTTTGAAAACAGTAACAAAATTAACAAATCTTTAGATGACTTGATAAAAATATAGGCAACTCAGATCACTAGATTCAGAAATAAAAAAGTATTTCTCTCAACCTTACATGACTAAGAATAGTTGAAGTATTTCTAAATGACTGTAATTAATTAGGTGATTTGAATGAAATGGGAAAATTACTGGAGCTGACTCAAGAAATGATAATCTGTATAGTAAGAAATTGAATGAGCAATTTAAAAAATATCCACAAAGGAGAAAACACAAATGATTTATAGGCAAACTCTATCAAACATTTCAAGATTTAAAAAACATACAGATTTTCCCCAAATTCTTCCAAAAAAGTACAAGAGAAGAGAATACTTCCAACTCATTTTCTGAAGCTCACATTACTTTGCTACCAAATCCAGACAGACATCTGAGCAAAAGAGAATTACTGGCACTAGGACCCTGATCACATGGACGCGGAAACCCTCCCCCAGTACTAACAAGACTGAACCTGATGACATTCAGGAAGAATAATTGAGAGATAAATCAGCATCCAAAAGTAGATTAATATACTGTATTGATAGAATACAAAAGTCCAAAGACTACATGACCATCTCAATAGATGCAGAAAAACATGGGTCAAAACCTCAAAGCTTTCCATGATAAATATCAGTCAATGAGCCAGAACAGAAGGAAATCTCCTCAACAAAGGCTATCTGAAAGCCCACAGGTGACACCACGGTTCATGGAAGATTGGATGCTATTCCCTATGGTCAGCATTACTTATGCCGTCAGCTTTACCTTGGAAGTTTCGGCCATGGCTGAAAGTTTTGCGAAGAAAGAGCAAGAACAGTCTTCCAGATTGGAAAAGGAAGTAAAATGACCACTTTGCATATGAAGGCCTCAAGAAACCAGTTTTAAAATTACTGGAATTAGTAAATTATCAGCAAGGTTGTAGGGTACAAAATCAATACACAAAAATCAATTGTATTTCTATATACTTCCACTGAACAACCTGAAGATGAAATTAAGAAAGCAATTCCATACAATAAGATCAAAAATAGTGAAACACTCAAAAACAAATTGAACAAAAGAAATCTCAATTTATGTTCTGGCAAATATACAACCCCGTTGGAAGAAGATACATAGGAATGGTGAAAATACTGTATTCATAGATTTTTTTGTAACCATTAAGGTGACAATACACTAAAATTATTCAACAAAATCCACACAATCCCTGTTAGAATCCTCAGTAATTTCTTTATTGTAATTAACATACCTAGGATACTTGTCATGAGAAGGCCAAGGAGAAACATTGCCAGCCAAACGCACTCAAGGCCTCAGTGTCACAAAGCTCCTCCAAACAGACAATAGAAGTGAAGTGCTACCAAGAAGTTAGAACTTTCATATAGTGCTGATAAAGAAAAAGCCGCCTAGCCACTTCGGAAAGCATACACATAAGGTAGAATACCACATGACTCAGAAATCACAATCCTGGGTGCGTGCATCAAGGCAATAAAAGCATTTGTCTCTACAAAAACCTGTGCACGCGTGTTTACAGTAGTATTGTTCAAAGATGGAAGCAACTCACGTGTCTACCAGCCAGTGAATGGATTACACCTGAACAACAGAACTATCTCAGCATGGAAAGAGGGAAGCACCCATGTGTGCCACAGCACGGATGCTCCCTGAAGCATTATGCTCAGGTAAGAAGCGTCAACAACCCCATTAACACGATGCACAGAACAAGCATCTCTATAGAGACAAAAAGGCTGGCTAGGGCTTGTGGTTAGGAGAAGAAGGTGACCCGAAAGACCCGTGCTTTATGCTTGGAGTGATGGCAATACCCAGTACTTGACTAGGGTAACAGATGCACATCTCGAACCGTACTTAAATGGATGAATTTGGTGATACATGGATTAAATCTCAATACAGCCGTTTTTGAAGAGGGACAGTGACTTGCAGACTGGAAGCTGTGATCAAACTCTCAAGAGCATTGCAGTTAATTTTGACAGCATTGTCCTGGTCACTAGGACATAGAAGGCTGGGCAGCCTAAATGTCCTGTGTGCCTGACCACATCCTGCAAGGTATTTTCTGGAAGCTAATGCTGTGCCTCTCCACCTGACTAAGAAGGAACACTCACACCTATTGAGTACATCCTGTATGCCAGCACCGCTGTAATGCCACTAAGTAGAAGCACAGCGAATGTTCCCTTTATTCCTAAGTTCTCATAGCTGCCCCTTCCCTTGTTCCAAGTGCTCAGTGCCCACGAAGAAGTGACAATAGTTTCTTCCATAGAGTTTGGCATAGAGGCGAGCTTGAGAATATTTACTGCGTAAACACGGAGCCAGTGTTAACAGGAACAGAGCCATTACTCACAGAGCCAGTGTTAACAAGAACAGAGCCATTACTCCAAAGATGCTTTGACCCGTGTCGTAAAGTGGTGACATGGAACTTCATGTAGACTTGTGACAAGCAATGAAAAAAGGTTTAATAAAACACTTGCACTAATTATTTTAAATCTAAAGAGGATATGCATAAGTTGGCCTGATAGTCTCCTGTAGAGAACACGGGAACCAGGGGAACACGGTTTTACTGCTTTAAAGTGTTGATGACCCTGGGTGAGAATAAAGTAATAAAAATCAGCCTCCAAGTTGAGGTCAGAAGACAAAAACCATCCCAGAAAGCATGAGCCAGGGCGCCCTCCCTTCAAAGGACACTCTGGTGACTCCAAAGTCTTCCTAAGTGGGTAACTATGGGCACAAGTCACCACACCTCACACCTGGCTTCTGAGAGACATGAACAAACAGCATTTCAGATGGCAAGGTGTGAGGGTGAGGCCTGTAATCCCAGGTACTTGGATGCTGAGGCAAAATGATGGCAGGTTCAAGGCCTGCCTAGGCAACTTGGCCATCCCGTCTCAAGATGAAACGGAAACAAAGCACACCACAAGAAGAGGGCTGAAGACACCGTGCAGCAGTGTGGCTCATACTGACGAGGACAAGCTCTAGGTCTAACCTTCCGTTCCACCAAGAAACGAAAAGCAAAGACCGCTCAGCAAATCCACTCGAACCCCATTAAAACACTCGCGTGGGAGTGCCCACAGCACACCAAGTGTGAAATGACTGAAGCCACTCGAGATTGCTATCATGCTACCAGGCTGGAAGGGACTGAGCAACTGGCGTGGCATTTCCCTGGTGTCAAAGGTGTCCCTGGCAGGACAAGCCACAGCCTTAGGTAAAGCGGGGTGAAACTGAATAGCTGAAACCGCGCTGAGTGTGGGTGGAGGTGGCAGAGCCTTCAGGAGGGCGGGGGAGGGGCCTTTGCACCTCCTTGGGCTTTTGCGGTCACTCATGACCTGGGCATTCCTTGGCTGAGGTGCATTTCTCCAGCCTCAGCCTCTCTGTTCTCCCTGTGGGCAGTGTCTGCACCCTGTCTCCTACAGTGCAATGGAACCTCAACAATGATTGACAGGTCATTTCAGCAAAGACCCCATTCCTAAATAAGGACCCGTTCACAGGAACCAGGGCAGCACACATCATTTGGGAGGACATGGTTTGGCTGAGGACAAGTAAATGAGTTTTGTTGGTGTTATTTTTTTAAAGCTTCATTTATTTTTTTATGAATATGAGTGCTCTATCTTCATGTACGACTTTATGCCACAAGAGGGCATCAGATCCCACTATACATGGCAGTGAGTTGCTATGGGGCTGCTGGGAATTGAACTTAGGACCTCTGGAAGAACACCCAGTGCTCTTAACTGCTGAGCCATCTCTCTAGCCCCTATTGGTATTTTTAATACATAATCTCACTCAGTAACCCAGACTAGCCTGGAACTCAC